TCTGGTGCCCTTAAGGATGATGCTGTTTCTGTTTGAGGAAAAAAAGATGGAGGGACATGCTATATTTCCTTGAAAGCAGACATCTCAGATGCAAGAAATATTGAAGTGTACTGCAGAATTTTCTGGCTGTGTGGCTCGTGAATTGCCATGGGGGCCAGGAGCATTGCAAACTGTGAAATGGAATGCTGGCTACTGTTAAGTGCTAAAATACACATGAGGTCAACGAGAAAAACCTAAAGCGCTAAGCTTTACAAAGAAAGGAGGGTCTAGGAACTTGAGATCAAATAAAGAGATGCCCACCGACAGTCCTCTCCCTGAAGTCTGCAGTGTAAGGCAGGAAGGAACCCTTGGTGGCGTGAGGCAGAGGAGTTATTCTGGAGAGGAAAGGGGTCTAGGCCCCAGGGTGGGAAAAGGGGCTATCCTTGGCTAGAAGACGGTGGAGCCTTAAACTCTGTGTGGGTTACCTGTGTGGTTTGGGGGAGATTCTTTAACCTCTCCTGAACCCATTTTCTTCTGTGGACAGTTGGGATGGTAATACTGCCCAGGCATGTAGTAAAGATTAAATAACTCGATATTCCTGATTGTGCTATGTGCCTCTAATACTTGGGTTTTGTCTGGCATCTGAATTTTGAGCGTATCAAGTGTGATCTGGTGTATGCTGGTCCTAAAAAATGGTAGTTCTAATGAAAAGAGACAAGCTATAAGGTTCAGAGTCCTTGCACTCACGCAGGGGATTTTAGTTTCTCATTTGGCACAGTATCCTGGAGGTGACAGCCATGGTTCCTCTGGCCACTTGGTGGTACATGCACGATACTACGTATTTTGTGGCACAAAATGATGGTGGCCAGAGCCTTGGTAGGAGACAGGGTAAGTCCAGTCGGGTGATTTTCCTTACCTGACAGAAGTTATAGTTTGCAGATTTCACAGCACGATTTCCATTTGAAAAAGGAAGGTAAGACTCTGGTATTTCACCAAGAAAGGGAGGCAGGTTGGAACCTGCAGGATTGAGTGGAGAGCTAGAACAGAGTTGAGGTGTTGCCTTGACCAACGGTGGGACCCAGCGTGTCACCTGTAAGATAAGGGTGAGCAGATGGACTGGATGAGTGGTTCTCTCACCTGGAAGGCTTGTTAAAACACCAATTGCTGGACCCCATCCCCAAGAGAGTCTGATTCAGCAGGTTTGGGGTGGGGCCTGAGAATGTGTTTCTAACAAGGTCTGAGATGATGCTGATTCTGCTGGTCCCGGGGCCACATTTGACACTGTACTCGATTATCTCTAAAGGTCATTGCCACCTCTGAACCAATTAAGCATGGCCAATTGCTTAAGGAGAAGGGATCCCACATGGCCAAGAGAAGCTGCAGCCCTCTACACTCCAGTGCACAATCAGGGTCCTGTCCAAAGAGCGATCCTCCAGCAGGAATGGGAATTTTCATTTCCTATGAGCAGATCCTTAAGCACCCGCACTTAAGGATGTCTTGCTAGCGCCACAGCAGCTTTTTATCAGATCCACCTGTGTTACAGGTTAAGTCAAGGCACAAAGTGGGCAGAAGACTGAGGTCTTCTGAGGAGGTGGAGGTACCCAGATATTGGTTGTGCCGGGGCCCCTGAAAAACCAAGGGGTAGACCTTGGGTGTAGATGGGCCCATTTGGGCCTAAAATATCTACATGGTTTAGAGACAAAGAGAAATTAAAGCCCCCGCTCCGCCCCACTTCTCACAAGCCATGACTGACTTCACTGGCAAACTCACCCAGTCAAGGATTAGCGTCCCATTGTCTCAAGGAAAAGAACTATTATCCCGTCAGCCGGGTATGGCTGGGGTATCATCCCATGTTGAGATAGCTTCCCAATGCATGCGCTTATGGTTTTGAATTCTGGCATTCTGCGGTACTTAATTTTTTTCATTACTCTCAGAACACATGAACACATTTTACGACTACTTACATGTCAAAAGTTTTTAATGGCCAGAGCGAGCTAGACTTGGAACCTTATGTTCAGTTGGAGAACCTCCAGCTGACCTCCACTAGCACTTAGACTCCCTAAGTCTTAGTTAGATCCCACTACTGAAATCGGGTTTGATCGTTTTCCCTAGTGCCCTTGCCCCATTCATGTACAAAAGCCCTCAGTTGTGAAACATTACATCGGAGGGGGGTGTGTTAGAAACGTGTTAGCTCGGTGACTTCACAGCCTCGTTCTCTTTTTCCTTCTGCCAACAGCTGATTGGCATGCTGCTGGCCTGCTGTCTGTCTCGGTTCATCACGGCCAACCAGTATGAGATGGTCTAAGAAGGTGAGTGATGGTGGGGGGAGGTTAAATCTAGGATTCTCCCTTTGGGGCACATACTCCCCTTCAAAGGGACAAGAGTGCTGCCTGGCCACTTCACTCTTTGATGTCGGTGGCACTTGGCCACATGCCGAAGCCTCATTTCTGTGGTGCTGGGGAGGAGATGTGAGCACTGCTCTGGAAAATGTCGAAACGCTCTCTTCAGCTTGTTACCTTATTTTAAGGCCTTATTAATGGTGAGTCACTCACATGTTTTAATTTCTCTTAGTCTTTCAAGAATGATGGAAGAAGAGACCCGTTTTCGAAAGGAACTGCAGCAATCTTTGAAAGACTTCCAAAGAATGTTAGAGCACAGTACATAATACACCTGTCCTAACACCCTCACCCCGTGCAACTGACACTCCCACACAGTCTCTGCTCCACCTTTGAGCCTGCATCATGCGTAGCATCCCATCTTGTGAAGCCCTGTTGTGCCAGAGTGTAGCCAGGTTCCCTGCATCTAGTCCTAGGGGACCCCACCCAAGGCTCTGTGTGTGCCACCTCCTCCATCTGTACGTGGTCCAACTGCAGCTCATTGTAGGTGACTGGTTCTCCATACCATCACTGGCCCTGCAGGGCCCTGCATGCAGTGTGGGAGGCTCCTGTTAGCCCTTGATCATGATTGACAAATGCCACACCCCCCTAGATGTAGATAAGCAGATAGCTACCTGTTCTTTTGGCTTAATCTCCTTTGGTTGGGTTTTCCCTTTTACTAAGGCTCTTGCCTACCTTCTTCAGGCTGCCTAGGACATGTAAAGAGAGGCATTGGTAATTGTCCATGAGGAGAAAAAGGCACGTGTCATGCACGAAGGAAATTGTCGAGCTTTGGGTGGCATCCTTGCTCCTTACTGTTACATGCCTGGGAACTTATAGACAGTTTAGTGCACCTGTATAATCCTTTTACAAAGCTGTATTGTTGCTTCCTGTGAAGGAAATAATATTACTTCTGGTTTTCCCCAATTAACTGCTATTGTTACTTTACTTCTTTCTATATTTTTTCTTTGCATTGACATTACAGACATCGAGGACCTCATCAAATGAATTTAAAAATGAGTGTGAAGGGGGAACAATAGTCAAAATATTTTTAAAAGATCCTAAAAAACAATTCCTCTGTCTCGCATGCCAACAAGAATGCATTGATATTGTGAACATTTGTGATACATGTGTTAATAAATAGTCATTACAAATTGCTGTGCTCTGGTTTTGTTCTTTGGTTAAGTTTTTAAACACATTTCTATATTCCATCTTGTTCCACAGGGGATTGGAGGTGGACCACCTTACACAATGACACATCCCCCCATACAAGCTCCCACTCCACTGAAATAGCATGGGGCGGTGTAAAAATTGAAGGGTTAGATTTTTTTTAATGGACATTCCAGGAACTTGAATCACTTATCATAAACAGGATGTACTGTTGGCTGCAAACATAGACGCTTCATATTTCAGGCTAGAGGAAGATTTCAGAGTTTTTTTTTTTTAAGTCTGGATGTCATTTTAAAAAAAGGAAATGAGCATGTATTCTTCCTTTTATTGTTCCTAACGAGCATGTATTCTACCCTTCCTTCCTTCTTCTCTGGATTGAATAAACTGTCTAGAGAAGAGATGACATCATACCATTCAGTTGTCCCAATGCCCTGGCTTGTACTAAAGTATGAAGTCCTTACGCTTGATTTAAAGAGCATTTTAGCAATAGGTGCAGTATTTATTATCTGCAATCTATTTTTTTCCTTCTTAATGAACCATCCTTAAAAACTAGTAAAAGCATTTATTGACCTGTCCCCAGATAAGTGGATTAAAAAGCTCCCTCTTCTCTGTAATTAGGATGGAGATGGTGTTTTGACTATATGCATTTATTAGCCTGAACTCTGCCTGAGGTAAACCCTAAAAGGCTTATGAAGGCTACTGACCCACACCTTCAGATACTGCCTCGTCAAAAGGTCGGCATTTTTAGAGAGTTAAGTAGATCTCTTCTATGGAAACATATGTAGCCCAAAACTTTTCAAAGTTTCATTTAAATTTCTATTCTATAATAAAATGAGGCTTCTCTGTAAAATCCTACATAGAGTCCCACGCAGGGTTCACCTTTTTGCAAACTATGCATTAAGTAGTATACTGATACAAATATTGTTATATTTTGGTAAACAAGAAATCTATACACTTTCTAAATTGAGTTCAGATCTCACCATTATATAATTTCAATGTGAAACATTTTGACTAAGGTTGATTTGACTTTAAAACTATAAAATATTGATATTTCTGACCTTGCTCAGAAATAAGATATATTTAGCTTTAGACAGTACTGCTGAACATTATTCCAAAGTCGTATACTAATTCATACTCCCACCACAGTGTAGAAAAGTTCTAGTTGTTCCACATCCTCACCAACACTTGTTATTCTCAGACTTACGTTTTAGCCATTCGGTGTGCATGGTGGTATCTCAGTTTGCCTTCACATTACGATTAATGATACCGAACACTCAGTCTGTCATTGACCACCTTCATGTCCTCCTCCATTTTTTTGTTTTGGCTGCACCACAAGGAATGGGGGATCTTAGTTCCCCGACCCACTGGATTGAACCTGTGCCCCCTGCAATGGAAGCATGGAGTCTTAACTATTGGACTGCCAGGGAAGTTCCAATAGCCTCTTTTATGAGGTGTTCAAGTCTTGTGTGTTTTTAAAAATTCAGTTATCTTAATTGATTTGTAGGAATTCTTTATGTATTTGTGATGCAAATCCTTACTTGGATGTATTTATTACAAATATTTTCTCTCAGCCTGTCATTTGACTTTTCACATACAGTCAATTCTTTTTTTTTTCCAGCTTTACCAAGATATATTTGATAGAATATCGTGTAGGCTTGAGGTGTACAAGGTGATGACTTGATCCACTGATACACTGCAAAATGATTACCACAGTAGGATTAGTTAACACCTCCATCACCTCACTCAATTACCATTTCTTTTTTGTGGTGAGAACATTTAAGATCTACTCTCTTAGCAACTTTCAAGTATATAATACAGTATTGTTAACTATAGTCATCATGCTAAACTATAGTTCTGATCCCCAGAACTTGTGCATCTCATAACTGGATGTTGGTAACCCTTTGATATCTCCCCATCTCCCCCACCTCCTAGCCACTGGTAACCACCATTCTACTCTGTTTCTCTGAGTTTGTTTTTCTTTATATTCTACATATATGTGGGATCATACAGTATATCTTTCTCTGACTTATTTTACATAGCATAATGCACTCAGGTCTATCCATGTTGTTACAAATGGCAGGATTTCTTTTTTCTCATGGGTGAATAATATTCCATTGTATATATGGATCACATCTTCTTTAATCATTCATCTGTTGATGGACACTTAGGTTGCTTCCATACCTTAGCAATTAAGTAACACTGCTATGAACATTGGGGTGCATGTACCTTTTTGAATTAGTGTTTATGTTTCCTTCAGATATACACCGAGGAGTGGGATTGCTGGATCATATGGTAACTCTATTTTTAGTTTTTTGAGGAACCTCCATACTGTTTTCCATACTGGCTGCACCAATTTACATTCCCACCAACAGTGCACGAGGGTTCCCTCTTCTCCACATCCTTGTGTGTGTTCTCTCGTTTCTTTGATAATAGCTGTTCTAACAGGTGTGAGGTGATATGCATTTCCCTGATAACTAGTGATGGTGAGCACTCTCTCAAGTACCTGTTGGCCATTTGTACGTCTTTGGAAAAATGCCTATTCAGATCCTCTGCCCATTTTTAATTGGATTTTATTTGCTATAGAGTTGTAGGAGTTCCTTATATATCAATATTTTGGACATTAATGCCTTATGTGTAGTTTGCAAATATTTTCTCCCACTCTGTAGGTTGCCTTCTCATTTTGGTGACTGTATCTGTTGCTGTGCAGAAGCTTTTTATTTTAATGTGTAGTCCCACTTGTTTATTTTTGCTTTTTTGTGTGCTTTTGGTTTCATATCCAAACATTCGTTGCTAAGACCAATGTAAAGGATCTTTTTCTTTATGTTTTTTCTGGACTCTATTTTTCAAATTCCCATATGTTACATTCTCCATGGTTCCCAAGTTGCTTTAACAGAACAAGTGGAGCTGAGTTAGCTGAAGGTGTGTGTGAAGTTCTACTTCCTTGCTCAAGAAGTAGGCTACAACTGAGCTTTTGGTTACAGGACAAGCATGCCTGCTCATAATAACGAGCAAGAAATCTAAGCCAGTACCTTGAGAGGGTAGGGATTGTTTTCATTTAATAGATGAAGGTACTAAGACTTCGAAGAGTCGTGATCTTCCAAACCCAGTGTCCACGACAGCTGAAATGCCAGAATGTGCTTACATTGCAAAGCTAGAATTTCTACTCCATATGAGTACCATTTCACACAAATTAATCATGGAAATACCCATTGCTTGTCTACCAGTGCACACGTGATCAACAGGTAAATGTAGAGTAGCCAATCCACTTGGAGATAATTACAAGGGATTCTATAACTACCCACTTCCTTTAACATAACAGCATTTCATTTCAAAAGATTACATAAATAGTAAAATTTCAAGCTGCCTTAAATTTTTTTTTACACTTTACTGTATGTATTTTAAATCTCAATAGAACTTTTGAAATAAAAGGTGAAAAGAAAACGTATCATGAGAACTTCTAGTTCCCAAATTAAATTCCTGTGAAATATTCCAAACTCATTTTTCACCAGTTACTACTTGGTGAAAGTAGTTTTCTAGACTACTCTACCTTGGTATCAGGAAGTGCCTCATTCTTCTACTTTCAGACTGGACATACCCATCCCAGTCCCTGAAGTTTAAATTGCTAATAAGCAAGAAGTAGGGTGACATTAAGAAGTAGGGTAAATGAGAGAAATGCAAATCAAAACTACAATGAGGTATCACCTCACACCAGTCAGAATGGCCATCATCAAAATATCTACAAACAATAAATGCTGGAGAGTGTGTAGAGAAAAGGAAACCCTCCTACACTGTTGGTGGGAATGTAAATTGGTACAGCCACTCCGGAGAACAGTATGGAGGTTCCTTATACTAAAAATAGAACTACCATATGACCCAGCAATCCCACTACTGGGCATATAACCGGAGAAAACCATAATTCAAAAAGATACATGCACCCCAGCGTTCATAGCAGCAGTACTTACAATAGCTAAGACATGGAAGCAACCTAAATGTCCTTCAATGGATGAATGGCTAAAGAAGATGTGGTACCATACATACAATGGAATGTTACTCAGCCATAAAAAAGAACGAAATAATGCCATTTGCAACAACATGGATGGACCTAGAGATTGTCATACTGAGTGAAGTAAGTCAGACAAATATATGATATTGCTTATATGTGGAATCTAAAAAAATGGTACAAATGAACTTATTTACAAAACAGAGATGTAGAAAACAAACTTATGGTTACCAAAGGGGAAGGGGGGAGGAGGGATAAATTGGGAGATTGGGGTTGACATATACACACTACAATATATAAAACAGATAATAAGGAACTACTGTATAGCACAGGGAACTCTTCTCAATACTCTGTGATGACCTATATGGGAAAAGAATCTAAAAAAAAAAAAACTGTCATGAAGAACCTAGGGGTAAGACAAGAATAAAGACACAGACCTACTAGAGAATGGACTTGAGGATATGGGGAGGGGGAAGGGTAAGCTGTGACAAAGTGAGAGAGAGGCATGGACATATATACACTACCAAACGTAAGGTAGATAGCTAGTGGGAAGCAGCCGCATAGCACAGGGAGATCAGCTCGGTGCTCTGTGACCACCTGGAGGGATGGGATAGGGAGGGAGGGAGACGCAAGAGGGAAGAGATATGGGAACATATGTATAACTGATTCACTTTGTTATAAAGCAGAAACTAACACACCACTGTAAAGCAAAGCAATTATACCCCAATAAAGATGTTTAAAAAAAAAATGTTTAAAAACAAAAACTCTTGCCCAAATTAATGAAGTTCTCCACTGTCAATCCTAGCAGGTGCATGGAATTAAACAATTACAGTGGCTATATGTGTATGTATAACTGATTCACTTTGCTGTACAGCAGAAACTAACAACATTGTAAATCAACTGTAGTCCAATAAAAATTAATTTTTAAAAAAGTAGGGTAAATTAAGTGCCAGTCAACAATAACGGTGTCTCAGAAAAGGCCTGATAAATGCTAATATTACCACTGCACTAACATGGACATATTTAGTGAGAAGAGCCATGTGGAAGCATTGCCAGGATGGCAGTCCAGAGACTAAGTCTCAACTTAGACCTCAGAATTTCCTAGGAGACTTGTGTAAGCCTCTTAAATGCTTAACAATTCTTTTTCCTCATCTACAAAACGATAAGGATGGATAGATGTTTCTAAAGACTCTCAAAATTACTTGGCTATCTTATAGCTCAATGATTGGTCAGTCCAATGACCACCCTAGTACTTTGAGGTTTCGTTGGAACTAAGACGGTTCAGAGTCAAGTCAGACCTCACCAACCAGAGGGCGATCCCACCAACATCCACACAGCGTCTATGGGATGCCACACATACACACCATTGTCGGCAAAATTTATGGAAGATCACATCTCTAAGTGAATGTCATCTCTTAGATTTAAGTATTTTTACCTTTTTACATGAGTTACTGCCTGAGGAAGAAATTCATGCAATTTTGAAAGCATGAACCAAAATGCAGACTACACGAATTATAAGTTTGTAGAATTAGGAATAACGGAAACGATAAATAAAATACAACAAAGTAATATTGAAACATGTCCTCTACCAGGGAAGGATTAACAGGGAAGAAATTATTTAACAGGTACGGAAAATGAACTATCAATTTTAGCAAAATTGGAGTACAATGGGCCAGATTTACCCTCCTGCCTAAAATAACCAAACACCAGGCAAAATATATGAAACAACAGTTTTGAAGACACTGAAATCAATCACAGAAGAATAGTAATCCCTGAGAGACAGGAAACAAAGAAGGTGAGCACTGTGGTTCCCTCAGCTTACCGACTTGAGAGCATTTCCAGGTTGTGATATAGGGAGAGGAAACATCCTGAGGCAGAATCCCTGAGTTGAGGAGACAAACCTCCGTGTCCAGGGAGACCAAAGCAGCTAGAGTTTACAGGACAGAGTACTGGAGAGGAGAGCTGCACAGAGAACTCCAGAGATCACAGAGGAACTCCCTTAAATATTCAGTAGAATAGGGATAGAGACTGGTGGAAGAGACACCCTAAATGTTACAGTGAAACAGTACTTGGGGCTCACATAGGTACAGGGATAGTGCCTATACACATCAGCAATTCTAGAAAAACTCACAATTTCACAGGGCATTGGGCAGAGTACTCAAAAGGGTCTGAGACATAGTTCAGTTACTTCAAAACCATTTAATAACCTTAAGTCTTTTTTTAAGATTTGTCGGGGGGATCAGAGCTTTGTTTATCCTACGGCTAATTATTCCCCACTACTGAGGCAAGTACTGGATACTTTTGTATTCCTATAAGTACACAATTGCCCAAGTTTGTTGAAAACTATAAACTGACAGATCCAAGAAGCTTAACAAACCCCAAATACAAAAAACATGAAGAAAACTACTTTAAGGAACATATCATAAGCAAATTGTATAAAATCAGTGATAAAAAGAAAAGTTTTAATTCACCAGAGGAAAAAGAGGTGATGCACAGAAAACAAAGATAAGGATGACTTCTGTTTGGAAAGAAGAACGTAAAGTAAGAAGACAAGCTGCAAGTGACCAAATGTTTATGTCCCTCCAAAATTCTTATGTTGAACTCCTACCCCCAAGGTGATGGTATTAGGTGATTAGGTCATAAGGGTGAAGCCCTCATGAATGGGATTGTGCCCTTATAAAAGAAGCCTCAGAGAGCTCCCTAGCCCTTTCAACCATGTGAGGTTGCAGTGAAAACATGGCTGTCCATGAAGCAGAAAGTGGGCCAGATACTCACCAGACAATGAATCAGCTGGTACCTTTATCTTGGACATCCCAGCCTCCAGAACTGTGAGAAATAAGTGTTTGTATTTAAGCCACACAGTGTATGATATTTTTGTTATAGCAGCTGGAGCAGACTAAGCCAACAACGGAACAGCAGCTTTAAAGTACTGAAAGGAAAAAAACAAACAAATAACCCAGAATTCTTTACTCAGCAAAAATATCTTTCAAGGCACAGGGAAATAAAGACATTTTCAGATATAAAAAAATCTGAAAGAATTCACCACCAGTAGACCCACACTGTAAGAAATGTTAAGGGAGATCCTTTAGGCAACAGAAAAATGATACTAGATGGAAATATGTATCTATTCAAAATAATAAAGAGCACCAGAAGTGATAACTACCTGGGTAAATATAAGACTTTTTCTGGGACTTCATCGATGGTCCAGTGGTTAAGACTCCACACTTCCACTTCACGGGGCACGGGTTCAATACCTGGTCGGGGAAGTTCCACATGCTGTGTGGTGTGGCCAAAAAGAACCAAACAAACAAAAATGCAAACTGAATAGAGACTATTTAAATATAAACAATAGAGAGAATGCTAGATATCAAAACTTATATGATATGACCCAGTTGTAGTCAAATAAAAATTAATATCATTACAAAACATTGTAAATCAACTATACTTCAATAAAAAATAAAATATCATTAAATGTAAAAAAAGACTGTTATTTAATAAATTTAAAAGATAATTGACTATTTAAACAAAAATAATAGCAATGTAGCATGGGTTGTATAATATATGTAAAACAAAATGTATAACAATAGCAAAAAGATTAGGAAATATGGAAGAACACTATAGTAAGGCTCCTTCAATATATGTGAAGTGGCATAATATCACTTGTAGGTTAGACTGTGATTAATTAAAGATATATATTGTAACTCCAAAAGCAACCAATAAAATTTTAAAGGTTATAATTAGTAAGTCATTAGGTGGGATAAAATAGGATTTTAAAAGTATTCAATTTAGAGACAAGGGGAAGATGGTGGAAGGTAAGACGCGGAGATCACCTTCCTCCCCACAGATACACCAGAAATACATCTACACGTGGAACAACTGCTACAGAACACCTACTGAACGCTGGCAGAAGACCTCAGACCTCCCAAAAGGCAAGAAACCCCCCACGTACCTGGGTAGGGCAGAAGAAAAAAGAATAAACAGAGACAAAAGGATAGGGACGGGACCTGCACCAGTGGGAGGGAGCTGTG